AAAAACCCCTCAAAACCCCTAAAAAGTCTTAAAATCCAAAAAAAAAAAAACTCTTAAAAACTCTGAAAAACCCTAAAAAGCTTAAAAACACTAAGAAAACCTAAATGAGAGAGAAAGAAACCCTAAAAACTCCTAAAAACCATAAAACATTAAAAATCCTAAAAAATGCTAAAAAAACTTAATAAAACCTAAAAACCCTAAATAAACCCATAAAAAACCATAAAAACCATAAAACCCTAAAAAATCCAAAAAAAACCCTAAATAAACCCTAAAAGGGCCCTAAAAACACTTAAAACCCTAAAAAATGTTAAAAATCCTAAATAAACCCTAAAAACCCTAAAAACGTTAAAAATAATAAAACCCCAAAAAAAACCCTAAAAACCCCCTAAAACCCTAAATAAACCCTAAATAAACGTTAAAGAATACAGAACACCATAAAAGGCCCTAAAAATGCTAAAAATCCCAAAAGAAACCCTAAAAACCCGAAATAAACCGTAAAAAAATCCTAACAACCCTAAAAAAACCCTAAAAACCGTAAAAAAAAACTAAATGAAAGCCCCAAAAAATCCTAAAAAACTCTAAAAAGCCAAAAAAAACCCCAAAAGAACCCCCAAAAAACCTTAAAAACTCATAAAAAGCCTAAAAAATCGTAAAAACTGTAAAAAAAAAAAATCCAAAAAAACTCTAAAAACCCTAAAAACCCTAAATAAATCCTAAATAAACCCTAAAAAACCATAAAAACCCTTAAAAATTCCTAAACCCCCCCCCCCCCCCCCCCCCCACCCCCAACCCAACCCCCAAACAACAAACCCCCCCCCCCCCCCCCCCCCCCCATAAAAACCCTACAAAAAGCTAAAAAAACCACAAAAAACCTGGAAAAATCATAAAAACCCCTAAAAACCCTAAAAACCATAAGAAACTCTAAGAAACCATAAAAACCCTTAAAAACCCCTAAAAAGTCCTAAAACCCCAAAAAACCTTTAAAAACTCTAAAAAACCCTAAAAATCTTAAAAATCTTAAGAAAACCTAAATAAGCGATAAATAAACCCTAAAAACTCCTAAAAACCATAAAACACTAAAAAACCTAATAACACATAAAAACCCTAAATAAACCCATAAAAACCATAAAAAAAACCCTAAAAATCCATAAAAACTCCTAAAGCCCAAAAAACCACTAAATAAACCCAAAAAAGGCCCTAAAAACACTTTAAAAACCTTAAAAACAATAAAACCCCTAAAAACCCTAAAAACACTTAAAACTCCTAAAAATCCCCTAAAACCCTAAATAAACCCAAAATAAACCTTAAAAAACACTGAACACCATAAAAAGCCCTAAAAACACTAAAACCCCTAAATAAACCCTAAAGAAACCCTAAAAAACCCGACATAAACCGTAAAAAAACCCAAACAACCCTAAAACCCATAAAAAACCCTAAAAAACTCTAAACCACCCCCA